GTGGTTTTGGAGTCTCAGTGGGGGCACTAAATTAGGGAGCACCATCCTAGGCACAAGAATGGTGCAAGATTATACTGTTGTGATCCAGTTATACTCAAGTTGTCTTCAGAGACTGTGTGACATGAGAAGGACAAATTCTGGTGAGACTCCCACCTGGAGTGCTGCATCCAGCTCTGTGGTTCACAGTACAGGAGGAACATCGGAGTGAGTCCAGAGGAAGCCACCAAGATGATCATAGGGATGGAGCACCTCTCATATAAGGAAAGGCTGAGAGAACTGGGTTTGTTCAGCCTGGAAAAGAGAAGGCTTTGGGGTGACCTAATTGCAGCTTTGTACTACTTGAAGGGAGCCTTCAAGGAAGATGGAGAGAGGCTATTTACAATGGTATGGTGTGACAGTACAAGGGGGAATGGCTTCAAACTGGAAGAAAGTAGTTTTACATTAGATATTAGTAGAAAATTCTGTACTGTGAGGGTAGTCAGGCACTGGCACAGGTTGCCCTGAGAAGCTGTGGATGCCCCATCCCTGGCAGTGTTCCAAGGCCAGGTTGGATGGAGCTCTGAGCAACTTGGTCTAGTGAAAGGTCTCCTTGTCCCTGACTGGGATTGGAACCAGAGGATCTTTAAGGTCCCTTCTAACTCAAGCCATTCTATGATTCTATGAATTTCTCAAATGTCCCCACTAAGGGGCAGCATTGAAGAGCAGGTCTCGGTAAACAGCTACTCATACTATGGAGTAGGTGCAAGGAAGGGACTAACAAATTAGTGTTTGTTCTCGATTGTATGGAAGAGAAAAATTAAAAAGGGAAAGAAAGAAAGAGAGAGAGAGAGAGAAAGAAAGAAAGAGAGAAAGAGAGAAAGAAAGAAAGAAAGAAAGAAAGAAAGAAAGAGAAAGAAAAGAAAGTCCCTCCCCATTTCCCATTGAGACGACCCACCATCGTTCTTCCCATAATTACTTTATAAAGGTTATTTCCATCTCTACACTGATGTGAATGAAGTGTGTAAGTTTGCACATGTTGACTTCTGGCAATAGTGAAGCTTTTCCAGTAATATTTCCCACTTCAGCTTTCATCTTGTTTTCCATGCAGAGTTACACAAGGATCTTTGGCAGGATAATATCTCAAAGGCTTTAGCTTTCTTTCTCTCAGCAGAATTAGGATTTTGCAATTTCTGGCTGGAGTTTGCTGTGGAAATGATGGAGTTTTGCACCTGTCAGGTTTTCAGACAATTCAAGATGTAGTTATTTACAGATGATCATAGGGCAGGTGTAAAAATTGTCAGGTCAGCTCCTGTAAATACACATTACTTTGACTGAGCCCATTCTTTAATTTCTCTGCAGCAATCTCCTTCATTAGCCCTGTGTGATCTTATGTAAGTGAATTCATCTATTGGATATCAATTTGCTGTTAGTTATAAAGTTAGTTATGTGCTCTTTTGTAAGTCAGTGCTCAATGTGTGTTTCATGCTGGTGTTAATGATTTAGTTTAATCTGATAGAGTTCAGCCATTTATGAGAGTAGAGCCTGGGGGAAAGCACCTTATTTTGCCTTTGTTAAAATACTACCTAGTCAAGGAGACTGGAGGTAATACCAAAGAACACTAATGAAATGCTCTGTTGGTTGCTCCAGTGGTCAGGGATTTTGGATTGTGAGTGATTTTGTTCTATGTGCAGTTTCAGGCAATACTTTTTTTTTTTTTTAATTTCTTCTTGGAACATCTTCCATATGCTAGAATATTTAAAGTGTATTTTAAAATAGTGGCTGGCAATCTGCGAAACACCATTTTAGCATGAATGAGGTCATATGCTACTAAAATACTACTTATACTAGGAAACTGAGATTAATTGAAAGTAGCACAGCTAAAAAAGCGAAGGCAACAGGTGTTTTATTCGATTGCAGGTATTGGCTTTTTTTAACATCTGTAGAATAACTGATACTTCATCCTGAAACTTGCTGCAAATTTGTATGTTTCCATAACTGAATATCAGTAACTCCCAGTATTCCTAATTTAGGATATGTTCCCTTAAGGTGTTTTTGGCTAATAAAACATGATATCCTCTTCTAGCACATCACCAGTTTCATAATGTGATGCAGGATTAAAAGAATTTTGCTTGGAGACCAGGCAGCTGATGACTAAGAGTGTACTGAAAAGGAAACAGGGCAGGCTGTGCTCCTGCAAAAAAAAAAAAAAAAAAAAACAAAACACCAAACCCTGGAGATATCAGCATTCTATAATTTTCACAGAGATGACTATAAGGTGTATGTGCAGCATGTCAGAAAGAAGTATTTTTTGTGTTGCAAGAAATGGGAGAGTAATTTGATGTAGATATTTTAATCAGCTATTTAGTAAGTAAGAGAAACGGGATTTATCTCTACGCAAAATTGACAATGCCTTTGACTATTATTTGAGCAAGTCAAGGAAGTGAAACAGCCTAGACTTCAATTTCCCCGTTGTTTAAAATTGAGATCTTCCCTAGTGTATTCTTATGAAGTAATTAAACAACCTTTTAAAATGTGCTGTTTAAATCCATGCTGTTGGGAGTTTTAGCACAATGACCCCAATAATAAATAGATGCTGGAGCAATTACAGTCAAATCATTCATCTTGATGCTTCAAATTTGATGTTCTGTACACAGAATGCTATAATATTCGCGCATTTTAAAAGTATTCCACCTCCCATAAAGTAGTAGTTTCAGGTGACTAATTGTTGCATAAACCATGGAACTGATATTTAAATGCAAATCAGGGGCCTTTTTTTGGTGCAGTTTTGGATCTTAGCCCATGAGTCACAGTTTTCAGAAGCAGCAAACTCCATAGAAGAGTGTAACTGTGTCAGTTCTGGGCTCCTCAGTACAAGAAAGACAAGGAGGTACTGGAGAGGGTCTAGCAGAGGTCACAAAGATGATGAGGGGTCTGGAGATCTCTCATATAAGGAGATACTGTTTAGTCTAGAGAAGACTAAGAGGGGATCTCATTAATGCATATAAATATCTCAAAGGTGGATGCCAAGTTAATAGTACCAGACCCTCCAGTGGTTCCCAGCAACAGGACAAGGAGCAATGACCATAAACACAACAAGTTCCACTTCAGCATGAGGAAGGACTTTATGTTGAGGGTGGCAGAGCACTGGAACAGGCTGCTCTGGGACATCATGGATTCTTCCTCTCTGGAGACATTCAAAACCCACCTGGAAACATTTCTGTGTCACCTGCTCCAGGTGACACTGCCTGGGCAGGGGGGCTGGACTGGATGATCTCCAGAGATGCCTTCCAACCCCAACAATTCTGTGATTCCTTGATTCTGTGAAAAATGCAGATTTAACTAGAAACAGTAAGATTTAAAAATCATGGATACAAAACGTAAAACGATGTACACAATTAGCAAATGCACATGCTATTTAAACTAAGTACAACTGAAGCCTCAGTCTGGAAACTGGAGTGGCAGAACCATCTGGAAAAAACATCCCTGGGCTATTCAGGCATCGTTTCTGTTCAAGACCCTTGCTGTCATGGTTGTTGAAAATTTTGCCTGTTTTAAGATTTTATGTAGAGAGCCTTTCTTAGGCTTTACTGGAATGGCATGTAATGAAGACACTTATACCATTCAAATACCATCTGTCCCATACAAAACAGAAGAGTATCTCGTGATTTGGGGGAAACCCTGGCTCTATGGAAACTGGGGCAGAATATTTTTTGTTACTCCACTAGCCAGGATTTTCTGTGTCTTCAAACAAATACTTTCACAGTAGTTGGATGTGGAGCTGGAGATCGATACCAATTGCTGATTATATTGAGCTGTAGAATGTTATTTGCAATAATGGTTGTGGTCAGAGACAAATCTGTCTTCCACCCCTTCCAAGGCAGACATATAGGGAAGAACCCTCAATCTTTTCAAAAACACATCAAGAGAAGTGAAAATGGTCAGTGTTGTCAGAGGCGCAGTCCCATTTTCCACCAGCTCTGTGGATAGAGACAGCCTCAGGAGATACCTAACTAGTGGTGTAGCTATCTGATACCCTCCCTGGTCATTGGTGGGGGAAAGGCAGTGGGGGTAGGATACTTCTGCAGTTTAGTAATTTTGAAGTATAAAAAAGGTCTTTTGAGGCCACAAGGGCAACTGCTGGCTTCAAGAGTTTTGCCCTGACGAGATCAATCCTGGACTAGGGCCAGAAGGTGAGAGGGTGAGGAAGGACTTCAGATTGTCTTTATTTGTCCTGTAACCTCTCTATATCTCAGCTGAGCCAAGAGAATCTAGGAATGTGTCTACAGAGATTTGGGTTAGATAAACTCTTTCCATTTGGAATTTCAAGATATGAAATACATTTTGAACTATAAAAGAAGAAGAACCCTCTTTTCAAGCATAGAACAATAACGATAGCTGTATAATCATTCTGTAATTCTTCTCCATTTTTTTCCATTTTGTTCTAATGACAGTGGTAGCAGTCAATTGAAGTCATGTAGGCAGTACAAGTGCGTGACACAGTACATGTGCAAGACAGGGATTAAACTTTTATTTCCTGGCAATAGGAAATAAAAGTTTAAGCTAAAAAAATTAATCTATTGTGATATTTCAAGATTTATCTGTTAATTGCTTGCCAGTGGTTTCAAAATTGGAAAAAAGCTATCCAAAATCACACTAGGATATCCTTTGAGTTCAGTCAAATCTCTGATTGAGTCAGCTTCGGTTATCACTGCCATCACCAGTTGATCTATAAATACATCTGCTTTTACAGCCTACGCATTCTGAGATTTGCCCATTGCCTCCTCAGAAGAGCAGGGCTAGCATCTACTATTAAACAAGCCTGGCTTGGCAAAAGCCAACAAGAACCTAGCCTAAGAGGCCAAGCCCATCCGTTGTCAGCTTTGACAGTCGCTGCTATCATTTGAAAGTGCACTTGCAGCCAGTCCAAGTTGGTAGTGTCAGCCCAAGCTGATTGGAGCTGCAGACATTTTTGCTGACTGGAGTCATGCTATCTTTGCCAGTTTGCTGGAATAGACACAGACACTGATTGGGTCATGCTGAAAACATTCCTGTCCTATGAAGCAAGTCTGTTTGTATTTCAGGTTTGCCAGGACTAATGAATTAAAAATCTTGGGCTCACCACAGTTTGCTGCTTAATAATGCCTGTGAGAGAAGGATTTTTTCCTCCCTGGAGCGTGACAGCATCATAATCCCTTGTCACTGGCAAGGAGAGGAAGGAAAAGCATACTTGTGGAGAAAAGCGGAAAAGGGTGATCTTTTGGGACAGCAAAGCCTATGGGAAGTGCAGGTAGCAGCATGTTGCCCTAACAGCTGTCTCAGCTTCTCAGACCTTGTCAGTTCGTTGCTATGCAGCAGGTGCAGCCTTTTCTTTTATTGAAGCTTTACTCCATAAAGGCAACGACAAGCCAAGGCAGTGGCTGGCCCTGGATTATACAAGTGCAGACACTCCGCTAAGTGAGGTAAGGCAACAGGTGTGAAAAAATTTGATAGAGCTGTAACAGCATTTAATCTGAGTTCTGCTGCAGATTTTTTACAGAGGAACAGCAGCCAGCTCTATAGGCAATTCTTGGGAAGAAAAGAGCTGCTCGTTAAATCTCATTAAATTCCAGGTTGCCCACTCACCTTCATCTCTGTCTACAGTGATATTGTTCATCATGCATGGAGAAAGCAGGTGGGGAACTGGGGGCAGCCGATCTGAATGTTTCATGATATCACCTTGTTTGCACACAGGCTTCTTCCATCCCTCTCTGTTCTCTGTGATAGCTTTTTGTGATGAAGAGCTTGAGGATTTGGCACAAAAAGGAGTGAAGGGATAAATTCAATATTATTTTAAAAATTGATTACAGGTAATTGCTGCGTATAAAGATGAGATTTCTTTTTCAGGATTGGAATAAAATGAAAAGACTCGTGTTTTGATAGAATTCACCATTTCTTACTGAAAGGGTGTTAATTTTTGCTCTCACATTAAAAAGATGGTTAAAAAAGGTAATTTAAAAGCATCACACACCAGAGAGTATGGGGCTGGGATAAAACAACAGACTTATAGCAATATTGTTATGACAACTTTAAAACCCCTAGCAGAATGCATCATTTTAATTTCTTAGGTTATGATGGGAAATTTTAAGTATACTCTTATGTGGAAGACCACTTGAGATAGTCAGTGTCAGGGGAAAGTGTACCAACAACACAGAAGGATGAACAGCCTTGTTTTGAGGATGTGCTTATCACTTAAAATCTCTTAATTTTGTGGGGCTTTTTTCCTTTACCTTGTATTGGGAAGTATGGAAGGGAAATATGATAAAGAATTTTGCATTAGTGATTCTGTTGCTTTTTTTAAAACAATGAGATGTATCAGATATTTCTTATGAAGTGAGGGTGGGGAGGCGGGGAAGAGATCAATAATGCTCAGAAGGTAAAAGTAATTCAGTCTGATGCAAGGCACTTCAAAATAAAGTATTTCAGTTTACTCCAAGGGTCTTTTACTGAGTCCAAAAACAGACATGGTTGCAATTATTTGACTTTTCTATGTCTCTGCTGCATAGATACCAGTTCAGTTTTTGTATATCTTGAATATTAGTAAGGGAGAATTAAGAACAATTCCTGGTATCCTTTGTGTATTAGCAGAAAGAGACACTCTCAGCTTCAATCAGATTCATTTGAAGTAAGGATTTTAGGTTACTTGTTGTTATTTTAAGAAAAGATTATGCACTTCAAATAACAAGTAACCATATCACTCTGCTTGCTAGGAAAATATCAAAACAGACAAAGCAAATAAACCAGAAATGCTGAAATTGATGGACACAAAGCAAATTTGATCCTATTCCACTGATTGCATGGCAGTGATGCCAGGGAAGTGTTTGATTCACTTGTATACCACCAAGGAAGACTGAAATATTGTTCTGTTCTATTGACATTTTGAGACTGCCAAATAATTCATTGTAAATGAGAATGAGTTGATAGGATTTCCCCGCAATACAATAGCCACTTTACTGAAAAACTGCAAGACTATTGGCTTAGAAAACTGTTTTTTGTTTTCACTTGCTAAATGCCTTGTTGTATTGTAAATTCATTGTATTGTTCTGATGAGTTTGGTTTCTAATTGACTAAGAAGTTTTTATGGTAATTTAAAAGCTACTCTCATAATTGTCCACTTGGTTGGTATGAATACAATGTGCACTGGATAGCAGTCCACAGTCCTAAAATAATTTCTTTATGGGCAGATCTTTTGCATGCATGAAGTCCCACTGATTTCATGTTCTCCACACATGGAGCTAATCAGAAGTTTAATATCTTTGAATTTTAGAAGCTTTGTGCTAGATAATCAAGGAGTTTCCTTGCGTTCAGCTATTCAACAGTTTAACCAAAACTGTTCACCCAAAATGTTAAATATACATAGTAGAGCTCCGAGTACAACTCTTTAGCATTCAGGAATGTTCTAATTACACCATTTGAGATCAATAGTAGCTAATTCTTTTGTTGCTCTTTAGTGTCAGGTTTAAATGAACTGGCTGTTTTCTTAATGGACAGGGTTTCATCTCAGTAAAACCACCCTTTGTAATTGATGGTCTCAGAAGAAAGACGGAGGACGGAATAAGGTCCCGATCCAGGAGCCAAACCCATGCAGACAGACCCCTACACCTGCACAGACTTCCACTGAAAAATCACCACCAAGGTTTGGAGACCCCATAACTTTCTGGCCATTAAGTGTGCAACTATCAGGCCCAGCTGGACTGGGAGAGTAATGGGTGGAAGGCAGGAGGATGGGTGCCTCCTCATTGACACCATGTGGAGTGGTGTGCACATTTCCAATCACAAGGCAGGCTTGGGGTCATGTTACTCTCAACTCCCCACCCCTTCTTCCTTCTTCACCTTCAGAGGCAGGCAGCATTGCCACAAGTCAAGGCTTGCTGAAGGGGCAATGGCAGGGAGGAAGCAGGTGAGGAGAGGGGTAGCTTCCTTTGCCATCATTCTTTCTAATCTATAAATATCAAAAATAAAGGCAGTCTCTGCACTGAATTTCATTTAATTCCTTTTTAAATGGAAAAGTGAAATGGCGCTCCCTTGACTTTGATTCTAAACATTGCTTTGCTAGAATGGGAAAGGTAGCTGTGAGTGCATGAAAAGCATTAAAACTCATTTGTTGAATGATGTCACATGCTCTGTAATAAATATATTGTTTGTATTATTGCAGCTGGAACAAACAAGTAAAAGCATTGACTCAAGTGCCCACATGATCACTACCGCCAGGGTACCTGCTGATAAGCAAGTACGAATTGCCTTCAGCCTGAATGAATCCCCAGGTACAGTTTAATTTATGGAGTAAACCACGATGAAATAGTTGTTTTTAAGTTTTACATGTACTTACCAGTCTTTACAATATCAAACCTAGTCCAGTATAATGGGTGGATTTTTTTTCCTGAGTGGCAGCTGTGATCAGTTTTCCTGTCTGATAACTTTTAATGTTTCCATTAACAATTTCATTAGAGTAAATCCACTAGATTGACAATTTAGGTCTTAGCTTTCTTTCAGTGGTTTGTGAGGTATACTTAGGACTGTAATTAACTAATCAATTTACCTGCACTTACAGTATATCTGGTTTTATGGAACTCTAAACTGAGAAAAGTAAAAGGACAAATTTGGATGAGCCTAGAGCAGGAAGGGACTTTTTTTTTAGCAGGAAGGTTGAAAAGTGCCACACATGCCCAGCTTGGTGAAAGGTTTCAGGAAATGCATACCCCACATGGCATCTCTGAGAAAGTAGCAGAAATTTCATTGATGTTTATACTGTCAACTAGTGCTGATGGAGTGTTACTTTCCTCAAACATACCCTGTACAGACATGGACCCTTTGGCCTTTGGAATAGATGAATGTTATTAGTTTGCACCTTCAATATTATTAAGGTCCAGAGAGCTGTTGCCAAACAGTGAAAGTCAGAATGAAATAAAGCAAAAATGAAGCTGAAAAGCATCCCAAAAACATTGGCTGTTGCTTTTGCTAAAAGTGGCTGGAGTCAGGGCTAAGATGTGTTTATGGATCTCTGATAAAGATAACTAAAACCCACTGCTGTTGCATGTTTTATGGGACTGTCTGCATTGTGGGATAACGTGTGAGGTTGCTTCCGGAGCTTTTCGTGAACAGAATCTCAACTTGAATACACTTTTCTCATGTAAAAAATATTTTAGAATATACACTAAGTTTCCTAGCTAATTTTTGTGTAATACTAATTTTCAACTACAATACTGAAATACAATCTCATTCCCTAAGCAAGAGAATTAAAAACCAAACATCTTCATGTTATTGAGCCCTACTTTCAGTTCATAAAGATGAGTGAGACAGAAAGACTGGGACAAGGAATGTAAAGAAATACATGTGATTATATATGTACCCTTTTTATAAATTAAAATAATCTGGTAATTACATTTTTATTACAGAAGGCACTAAAGAATCATTCTCATCTCTCAAGATACAGTCATGTGGTAAATCTCATACAGGAATTATGGCAAAGATGGGTCTTGAAGAGAGATGTAACTTATGGAAAAAGGATGCTTATGTGAGACACTGAAAACAAGTCAGGGAAGGCTGAAACCATGGGAAAATCAGACAGCAGACTGGTTTGTGACAAGAGATGACAACAGGAAATTACAAGGTTCTGAATAGCTTGGAAGAAGGGGATATGAAAGGCAGGAAGCCTAACTTCCTTAACATTGCTTCATGTTTTATTTTTTCCTTTTTTATCCTGCTAATAACTCCAGCATCTCTTGTAATGTTTGGGAAAACAAACCCAGTTAGAGAAAGGTAATCTTTTTCTGCTACATATTGTTAAACTGTTTCATAATTTTGAATCCTTTATTGTATGTATGCAAGTGTTCCTGCAGCATGCAATCCAGAATCTTCATGAGTGCTGATAAAAGAAAATAGCAACCCATAGAGTGAACGCTGCACTCCCCTCTACATGCCTGTGAGGGCTACCAGGAGGACTAAATCAACATATTTTTTTACCATGTGTCAAGTTTCAAGAGTTATTATGTTTGATATATTTAAAGAAGGCAAAGGAAATAAGCTTTTAACAGGTACGAAAATTTCTAGCAAACTCTAGCTGAATCAAGAGAGTAAAAACAAGTATTTAAAACTTTTTTTAAGATGGACTGCAAAAGCCTTCAACAGATAGACCTTTAGGTATTCCATAGCAGGTAGAGACTTTTTTCTTACTTTTTTATATTTCTTTAATAATTTTTTTTCCTTGACGAGGACATTTGTTTTCAGTTTAAACAGGAGTTACCTGCTGAAAGTGTGGTAGTAAGGCATCAGCTGAGGCTCATGAGCTGCTAGGCATGAACAGTAAGTTCTTCACCAGGGCTAAGTGGTCAGGAAATTGGTCTGACTTAAGCTTTTCCTTAAGTTCTACCTCACTTGAAAGGCACAATGACACATTTCACCAAAAAAGGGTGCATTCTCCTTCCGGGGCTGTACAATTGCTTACTAGGAGGAACTAGCAGCATAACTGGATATAAAAAGGGGAAATGGAATGTTTCTTCTGGGTGGCAATTATCTCACTGGCTAGGATTGTAACCAAGCACTGGGTGTGAGAAGCAGTGAAAGGAGAAACTGCTCTCAACTCATGAGAAGAAATTACTTTGTGTTAACTGACCCACAAGACTGGAGCTGGCTTATCCCGAGTGTACAAGAAATAATTTAATTGTGTTATATTATTTGTCAGTCAACACCTGATGACTGAAATCCTGGCCAGCTTTGTGCCGTATTTTTAGTGTGAAAGTAGGGTAACCAGTTCCTTAAAAGTCTCAGGAGCAGCCCATTAGTGGGCTATATACGACAGTTTTATTGTGTATGTCTTATTCCTGTATATATAGATCTCTATGTTTGGCTCTTTCAGTCAAGTTCACTTACATAGATTTCCCACAATATTGCACCAGTTTTGACTTAAGGTACCATTTTAAATTAGTGAATTGGAAACATATTATTCCAGCCCATCTTAAATCACTTGGAAACTAATGCAATTTGAACTAAAAATGGTGTTCCAAGATTTAAATAAGTGTTCCAAAGTTGAAAATATGTTGTGGTTTATCAATATCAACTTCATTTAACCAATGAAGTTCAATACGTCCTAGTCTTTATCACTCTTACTTACGAATATACTAAGATACAATGATTATAAGAGGAACTTCATGGAATTTAGACAAGTGGATTTGTTTTGTGCAATACTTCAAAGATAAGGTTTATAGGTAAATATCTCTTTTCCTTGCCTCCTACAATAACAGATTGAGTCTAGCTGAAAAGTTCTGCTCGTGACACATGGTGATAAATGACTGGTTTTGAAATTGTTAGTGAGTTCTTTTATTTGAAATTAGTTTACCTCTGATAGACCATTCCAGAAAAATCATTGACAAAAAAGGCAAAACATAAATTTTCTAATGAACCCGACAGATAGTGAAACAGTGAAATATTTTTGCAAGCATAGCAAAATTACTTATTTTACTCCTCTTTATGCTCATTATCCCCATGACCACAAAGAACTTTTTGTTTCTCTAATTGATCATGCAAGACTGTTTTGCAATGGTTGCTTCTTCAAAAGCAACCTTTAAATCCCTACTCCATCCTTATTTTAGTTGTAATGGCAACAGAGGCTTTCCAGCACATTGATTAAAAACCAGTAAGGGTTGCTAAAACATATGGCTAAAATTCACAAAGCTAGTTTCCTAAAACTACACCCAACCTACAAGGAAGTGGCTTGGTCTTTGGGGAATTAGATAGGAACTCATGTGAAATACCTTCAAAAAGATATTCATCTGAGGATGCTTGTGCTTCAGTGAAGGTATATGGAGTAGGAGGATTTTGCTGTTATCTCTTCTGTTATGTACTGTTTCTATTTTAGGGAGGCCCATAACTCTTATTATTGAGCAAGACTTCACATCCTATTCCTGGGTGAGGCAGTGACCATTCCCCGCTATTTTATGAGTGAGGTAACTGCGAGGTTTTGTAAGGTCGTGTCAGGCAGGGCTGTGAATATAAGCCCTGGAGCTTCACACAGCAGTGCCAAGTTGCAGTCACTTAGCCATACAGCCTTCCAGAATGAATTTGATGAGTTGTCTGTCAGTATACAGGGCCAGAGCTGCTGGATCTCACTGTCCTCCCAGGGTCAAGAATGGACCCTGACACACAGTTTGCCGGTGTTGTCCCAATGCAACTTGTGGTGCTTGCAGCTGAGTTTGAGTACTTTTCCTGTGTTAGGGCTGATCCACTTACAGGATGAGAACCTACTTATGTTACCAATTTAATTCTTTAATTTAGGAGCAAGAAATCTGAATACATGTAGGAGAAAAAAAATAGTACCTGATTGTATAATTAAATACTGGATCATAACTCAGTTACTCAAGGAAACAGAGCTGTGATTGGCATTTCCTAAGTTTCGAGTGCTTGATTTAGCAGCCTTAATGTGCTTTCAACGCATTTAAACTTTTCTATTCTATTTCTGTCTATCTTTATGAAGATCATAGAGAAACTAATTTGCAACTTTATACTGCAAGTAAATCAGATGTTGTTCTTAAAGGATTTATTGCCTGTAGCCCACGGTTTAGCTAAATGGAGCAGCCATATAGGAAGAGACTTGGATATTGCACTTCATTGTACCAGACATTGTGTGAGTTAGGCAGTGACACGTGAAGGATTTCTCATATTTGTCTACATGATGGAGGTTTGGGATATCAAAATCTCCAGGAGGCCAGAACATCATTAAATCAGTGAAGCTTTCCAGAAAGAAAGATTCATTCTCAGATGTGTAACATTAGCATATGTCAGAGGAATGCCTCAGGGCATAAGTAGATAAGTAGTAAGCCTTTTGTATAAAGACAATCTGTCCTAATAGAGTTCAGATGCTCTCTGTTATGGTGACAGTTTTCAGCAATAAGCAAAGCAAGCATGTGAACCATGAAACAAACAGGAAAATCGAACTCTTTTGTGCACAAGAACCAAGTCTTTGGTTCAAAGTGTTCACCATGTAATCAGGGTACAGGTCTTTAGGGCACTTTCAAATATAGAACTTCAAAATTAGATTTGGGATTATGAGAAATCAGGAAGTGCTACTCATTTAGAGGTCATGTCATAGATACCTTAACTTAGGAGGCTGTAATGAAGTCCCTGACATGATTCTTTTACATCACCAATCAGTGCTGTTGAGTTTGCTGGGATAGCCATGGCATCCATATGTACGTTATTCTTACTTTCTTGTTTCCTTTGACCGGGATCTTAACTCATTTTCAGGTGTAGCAAGTTCCTGTCTTTGATTTTTCTAGTATTTTTATTCTTAAACGAAATAGGTTTTCAACATCCAGCGTGAATTATAAATCGTTTTTCTTTGTGAGTTTTTTTATAGTGACCACAGGGGTGAGATGCTGTTTGTAGCTGTTGAAGAATCAGCCTAGATATTTTCAAGGGTTTTTGGTACAGAAAAACCACTAACTTTATTGTAAAAGGGGGTCACTGATTATATCAGTGATTCCTGATCTAAGCACTCATTAAAAATTGATAATGAATTGAGAAAAGGAAAAAAGAGATATTTCTTAAATTTGTTGTCTAGTTAAGGAGATATAGAGTAGAAAATAACAGATACAGGCAGATGAGATAGTTGTAAGAGTGATTTGATCTTCAGAATACTTTCACCGACATTTCAGACATTTCTTGTTTCTGATTTTCAGAGTCAATAGATTCTGAAGGCTGGAAGTCAATGTAATTTTGCCTGGTCTTTTGCATAACACCCAGTATTTCAGCTTGTAGGGGCAATAGTGATTCTTTCAGAAAAAAATGTAAGAGCTTATATCTTTGCTCTTGACTTTCTGAAAACATCCTCAAAAAAGTTTTAGGAGTCGAATGACTGCTTTCGTTTGCTTTCCCCTTGTGTGAAATTTAATCGTGTTTAGTTTTTACCGAGTGATTTTTGTTGTTATTGTTGTGGTTGTTACTTTGACAACAGTGAAATACAAACTGACCTGAGGCAGTAATTTACTTCACTGAAAGCTGTGGGGAAAGTAATTTGTTGTTCTTTTTGTGGCAAACAAGATTGCAGTTAGTTATGAGGATTTCTGTTAATTTTTCTAAATTAAATACTTGAGCGAAAAATCTCAAAAGGGCCCAGGAGAATCAGGAACCCAGGAAAATTTCAAGCCACTAAAGCCTCCAGCATTTCTTGATGATGTTCTGCACATTGGATGATGATTTAAACAAGTCTTAAACTAGTATCACTAAAAAAAACCCCTAGCAGCTGTTCAATAGATGCTAGGGCAGGCCCATTATAAAATGTACTATGGTATGCCATAATGGTTAGGATACCAGTACGTTCTATTTATGGTACCATTGACTCAGTCACTTGAGTTCAAAAAATAAGCAGGGAACATCTGTTTATTGAAAGGATTTCCTCTATATTAATTTCTCTCTCTATTCCATCCTTTATGAAGTACTTCCAAAGTTTTTTAATTAGTTCTTTTAAGAGGATATTCCGATTTATTTTCTAATATTCTGACACTGCATTAGTTTTATTTTCTTATTAATAGCTGATGCAGTGAAAAAGTAATTACTGGCTGATGTTGCTTCAAATTTATTTTTTTTTAGTACTTTGAAGGGTTGCTTTGGTATGTTTTTCTTAATTTTAAAAGTGTTCAAGATCCTTCCTTAAAGCTGCTGTACCAAGGATTGTACTGCTGGAATTGTCAAAACAAATAGCAGCTTAACTGCCATCCATGACTCTGGTCCAATATCTCTGTCAGAATATTTAACAGCTATTCAGCCAAATACTTGTAGAGCAGCTGTACCCCTAGTCGGACTGAGTTTTATTCTGTCCTTCCTTTTAGCCTTGCCATATGATTCATCTTTCTTCTTTTAGAAAATTAGTCTATTTATAAATATTGTACACGAAAGCAACAGCAAATTAAAGGTAAACACTCGCATATCTGCATGATACAATCCTCTACTATTAAAGCAATTTCAGTATTTTCCAGAATGGACGCTTTTGGGAAATGGTGTGAAAAATGAAGGGGGACACACATATGACATGGATAGGACTTGGTAATGCTAGCAAAACTCCTACCACATGAAAATATAGGAACTTCACTTTATTTTCTGAGAAAGTTCAAAAGTTTTTCTTTTGTATCACTGTATTTTATTTTTTTTCTTCTCTGGACATCCTTTCCTAGGCTCTGACCATGTGTTAGCCTGTATGCTTATTTCTCATAGGATAAGGTGACTTATTTTACTTTTTCCCCCTAATTTCCTTTGCTACGTGACTACGGAGAGCAGGAGAAAAAGATATCAAATATTTGACAAATAATTTAGATCCTAGTCTGTACTCTTTCAGAATACCCAGAATCCTGCTTTGATATGTGGTCCTCTTAATCTTGTTGGGGTTTTGTTGCCCTGTACAAGTCTGCCAGCATACAACGTGTTGCAGGATCTGAACTGTGTTAGCAATTTTCTCTTATGAGAGCCATCCTTATTTAATTTTGATGTGTTACAAATAACTGACTGTAAGCTAATAGTAACATTCTCCTCATCCCTCATAACTTGTAGCAAGATGCCTAAGTGGTCATCACAATCCAACACAAAAGTTATAGTGTGAAAGTCACTGAGGAAGAACTATTGTGATGGTTAGCTGGGATGCTACCAAGTGTGATTCCTATGTTCCATCTCGGTCCAGCTACTACTGGGCAGGTGTCCACATCACAACACTGACGTAGCTGGCACAGTCTGTCCCACTTTAGCTGGAGGCCTGTACTGAAAACAAACAAACAAATAAATAAAAACATGGTTTGGCTTGTTATTACATGTTCTCCTGGACTAATTGGCTTTGTTTTGTTTCTTAATCACTGCAATACAAAATAGATTTTCTGTCTTTCCAACAACTAAATATTTTCTTAATAACAACCCACTAGTATTTTCAAGGAGTCTATTAAGACATCTCAACTGTAAAAGATAAGATGTGGAGATGTTTTCAGGATCCCGATGTTATTGTCAATATATGCAATATAGAACTTCATCACATAGATTATGTGAAACGCCCTTTTTGGTAGACATTGACTTTTAACATCATGTTTACCTTTTAGATGATGCTTCCCCTGAAAACTTGTCTTTGGCATTTCCAGAACTAGATCAGCAGCTGCAGGTAAATGTTTTTTTTTTTTTGTTACAACAACTTATTTCACAGTCGCTATATTTGTTATGATATAAAGACTCTGGTTGTTATACTAAGGTGGAAGTTTTCAGTGGGGCTTTTCTAAGCTATTGACATTTAATAAGGCTGTATATATCCACAGAAGAAAACACTGTCTTTTCAAGATCTGCAGAAAATTTGGTTTGACGTTTTTAATCCAATTGCAGAGAAATTACTATTGCAACAATCTCACCTGCTTTTAAGATTTTTTATACAATTCCTGTGTAAAATGCAGGACATGCTGTTGCACTGCAATGAAGAGAGTTCTTGTGTGTTTGACAGGAGAAGGAATGAGCCAGGTATTATATTCTCATGCCTGCAGGCTGTGCTATGACTGATGTCATCATCTTTCTCCGAAGCTTTCCAAGAGAAGATGTATTTTGTGGTGCTGTTTTACCTTTAATCTTGGGTAAATAAAGCTAGTCATCAGGATTGATGAGAGCCTCATCAAAGTAACTGCAGTTCATGCTGCATAGTCAGGAACCCTAATGATTGCCCTGGCAGGTGTCTGCAGACAGCCTGGGATAAAAGTGATGAGTCCTTTTGTGACCAAACTGATTTGTCAGCACAGGATGATGGAGCCCCGATACACTGGACAATGAGCAGTTGATGACAGCTCCATGGTTCACCAGGCACAGAGCCAGTTCCACATCCAGGAATTATTTCTCTTTTCTTTGTGGAGATTCTGAAGTGTTCATTGGTTGTTTTAAAGTACTTCAGATCATCTGTTTTCCCAGGAGCATTTAGACTTCCTCTGATATTTCACTATGAAGGCAGTTGCTTCCTGGGTGTAAATTGAGAAAGGCATTAGCAGACCATGCTTGTCCAATAATGTCATCTTTCCTGTATCCATCAACTAGTGAGACAACACAGGAGGGCTTCTGACTTCAACTATTCTCTCCTACTGTTCTAATCAAAAGAATGACTGCAAAAGGAATGACAGAGACTCCTCTTGCTCTATCCCTCTCATCCTGAGAATATGGGCAGGTTCCTTAGGCATAACTAGGAATGATTAAAGGAATGAATAACAGCTTAAGATTTGGGGTGAAAGGAACAGGATAGGATACTGACCTCTTTATTCCGCTGACCTTCCAGTGCAGCAAAGATGATTGGCTTTTTTTTCCCCTCAGAAGAGTTCAGAGAGCAATAACATCTCATAGCCGAAGCACTGAACTGAAAGTAAAGAACCTGAAATGCTTGAATTTGCAAGAATGCTGGTACATGTTTTCGTAATAAAAATATGACATCTAAAGCCACAGGATTTTTATCACCGTGCCATAAATACAGTTAAAAGCATTTATATTTTATTTAAAATATAAATATAAATTTAAGTATAAATGCAGGTTAGGTGGCTATACAATAATAGACACTATAAAAAAAAATAGTAGTTTTCCAGGTTTCAAACATACAAAGGAAAGTTTTGAAACCTGTTTTAAAAACAAACAAACAAAAAAAAAACAAATTAGCTGATCTTCAGGCTGGATTTTGAACACAGCTCGAAAGCTGTGTAGGTTCACTGAGTCACTTGGAATTCTGTGCATGTAGGCAGCAGACCACAGCCTGAGTACCCAGCAATTTGCACCTCTGTTTTAGGTTTCAAGCCCTTGTCCTCCTATGTTAGGCCCTGGCAGACAACTTGGCTATTTGAGCAGAATTACCTAGTGTTCCCACTTTTCCTTGCACAATTCTACCATACCTGGGCACCACTATCTGAGGTGGGCAGGGCAAAATTCAGTGCAGCCTCCTCATGGCAGGGTAACAAACCCTGCTGTCCAAGTACCAGCACTGACTCTACAGAGGTAGAGGTAGGACTGTCTGGAGAGAAGGTCTTTCTAGGAAACTTAGCAAATAATTCTCTATAAGGACTCTTACTAAAGGACAGTCCTAGTTACAGCTTCTTTCTGAAGAATAAAAACTGTGTCTTCTGATGTACTAGGCAGGTTCAGACTAAAAATGTTTTATTTTCAGATTACCTCTTTAAATGTTACATTTTTCTACTGCTCTGAGAGGAACACATTCCAAGAAGCAATTTATAAGAAAATAACCCAACTGCTATCTCTCTTTTTTTTTTTTAAACCTAAATCAAAATTGCTTTATGGTCAACTAGACACAAAAGCCCTACATATGAGAACGGAGAAGTTTAAGCTATATGTATGCCTCTTTTGCAGCTTTATTATTAAAAAAAAAAATTACTATAAAGAAATTCCTGCTAAGTTATCAGTGAAATAAAACTCATATTAATAAACTTCTTGCTTTTGTTTGCAGTACTGGAAATTATTTTCTTCCCACTGACCAGCAATACTTTGAATGAGGATAAAACATGCTTATTTGGGCTTCTGTTATTTCCCCCACCTGTGTGTGTCGTGTGGTGGGTAGCAGTGAGGGTAGGCTGGCTACACTTGTCACTTTGTCATTGGGAAACTTTAATCTTTTCCTTGTGTAAAAGCTGGACTGGTCCTTGGAAGGCACTTCCTTGATTATCCATAGAGTGGGTGGTGGCCCCGCTGACAGACACTCCACTGTGGGTTGTCTGCTATATTTAGACACCTACATCAGCATCTAAGGCCTTGTTGTTCATGTCACTGAATGCAGAGGAAAGTATCTAGAGTTAAGTACCTGCATTGCTATGTCCTGTGTGTTGCCTGTCCTGTTCCAGCACTTCCTGTGACTTGCTCAGTTCATCTCCCTATTCTCCATCAAAATCTTTATTCCAGATGGGAGTTTGATCCTGAAGAGGGAAGAATACAAGTCACATATGGATGGACAGGAGGTTCCGTAATTCTTTATCATTCAAGGCCTGGTTAGATGGGGCTCTGAGAAATCTGACCTAGTGGAAGGTGTCCCTGCCCATGGCAGGGGGGGTTGGAACAAGATGATCTTTAGGGTCCCTTCCAACCAAAACCATTCTATGATTCTATTATTCTATTATTCTGTGATCTCTTCTCATGAAATTGTGAGCTTGAGAGGCATTTATGTCATATTTTGTATTTTTGTACTACAAATCTGTGGAGATTAACGTAGTTAAATAAACTTGCTGCAACAGAGGAAAAGCTCCAACCATTTATAGTATCGGTTTTCTAAGCCACAGGATAGTTTTTCATGCTTTAGTGGCAAATGCCTATATGAAAGAAGCAGTGAAAATGTTATGAAAGTTTGTTGTGCATGATATGAGCATTTAGCAGAAACCTTGTTTACTCTGGAACTTGAATTGATTCTAGTGAATGCCAAGATTCTTGTTAGACACAAAAGTATTTGAGAAAGCTTAAAAGTATACTGCATTTTTAAAGAGGATGATGTATTTTTTCAAGATTTACTAATATTTTAATATTCATTTCCATAAGTATTCCTAGTACTGTGGTACTCTATAATTAGATATGAACTTGAAAAGTTTCCTATAATGCTGCTATAATAACTATGGTCTTAGGTTAGGTAAGACGTGGATGTTCACAAATTCAGAACATCATCCCCAAGTTAGAAAAGAATGGAAAATGTCTCAGCAAAGGAGAGCAAAACTCTCAGTTGCTCTTATCCAGTTGACCTGAATTGTTCAGAAGAAAGAGAGCTGCTTATGTTCATAGTAAAACTAGACTAGACAAGATGTATCCTGACAGATATCTGAAAGTGGTTGAAGATTTCCACTTGCACAACAAAAAGTAGCTGCAATGTGTTAGCTTTTGCTGCGAGCAATGTGGGGTTTTCCATCATGGAAGGGTACACAAGGCTGTATAATGAACATAGGCCACCATGCAAAATATCGGCACTGAACTTTCCGGTTTTCCACAAGAGTTTAGCTGAAGGTTATCAAATTTACAAAAAAGCGAGATACTACTCTTTAATTGGACTTAATTAGACTTTAATTAGTGGTAAAGACTGCTTTCTAGACAAGTTCACATGAGCTGGTAAAACTGCCTGATAAAATTTTTTCTTGAAACTTCAACATTTTCAGGAGATAATTTTAATTTTATTTTTCGCAGTTGAGTCAAAAAGTAAACGCAAACAAACTATGGTGAATTAAAAAATAATCTGCTTTAAAGTTTTTGAACGTTTGATTGACACTGTCAACTACACAGCCTTTGTGGATATTGAATGCTGATATTCACATGGCAGGGCAAAACATACCTTGTTATGTGAGTGAAGCAAAAAAAACCCTAAACCTGAAAACTGTCATTCTGTGTCTCCCAGCAAAGATTTTATTTAGAACAGCTCCTTCAATCTGCCCTAAGAAGCCTGCAGAACCACTCTTTCTATTTCTTCATGAACAGCATTTGCATGTCATCTTCCAATATCTTCCATATCTGGATTCTGAACAAAAGTCTAAATGAACAGTTTATATGTCTTGTAAAGATGTACATACATATGTGCAGTTATAGAATAGTCTCTAAAAGACCTCTTAATGTCTACTTGCTGGATCCTGTAGACCATTTCTCAGTGTTACAGCAAGTTATTCAACAAAGGAAAAATCAGACCTTGTTGAAAATCAGGCATAATAGGATAGATCACTAGTACAACTTAAAGCTGCAGCTTTTGTGCTAACTTTGTGAACAAAATCAGAGATGCTGCATGTGCATATCTTACCAGCACAGAAAAATGAGGGTGGATGACAGTGAAGCCTGAAATAAACAGGATTAAAAGTAGCAACTGTTGCCATTAAATGTAACCTTCTTTGGCAGGGATGTTTTTTGACTTGTCTAGCAGGTATGCTTTTAAGTGTATTAATTTATGGACAGGCAAGGTACTTCATGAAGTATCAAGCTTGGCCTGTCCTAAGAAGAAATTAAAGTATGGCTGTTTTCTTCTGAGTGAAAAAAAGTACATACTGCAAACTGCACTTTAATAAGGCCTGTTGAAATTAGTTACCTGAATAAAGTAACCAACTCTCACCAAAAAATTAGTATACAAACCTCAGGGAATACCATCAGAGTAGCATCTGCAACAGTCTCCATGGGCTGGCCTCATGCATTCAAAAAAGTCATTCTAGGTGGATGGAGACTTGTATCTCTCCTTTTCATGTGATTGCAATAGAGATGTTTGTTAAATAATGAATGCATTAGCCAGTTTAATATGCTACTGGCCAGAAATTACTCACAGACATCTATCACCAAATACTATCACCAAATCCTTTCTTAGAAATTTCCAAATTGCAAAAGAACGAGGCAAGTTATCCAGTTCTGGCTGCCCCATCCCTGGAAGCGTTCAGTTACAAGTTGGATGGCACTTGAGGCAACCTGGTCTAGTGGAAGGTGTCCCTGCCCATGGCAGGGGATTGGAACTGGATGATCTTTAAGGTCCCTTCCAACCCAAACCATTCTATTATATGATTCAATTATACGATTCTACCTAGTCATATGAAAACATAATCAAATTTATGTTTTAAAGAAAAATACACTAAAAAAGTTCTTTATATAGTACTTAATACCATCAGAAAAGATTGAAAAGAATTGTATGAACAGAACATTAGTAAACCGATTGTATTATTTGTTGTAAGTTTATTTAAAGTGCTAAAATATCATTGTAAGAAAAAATGTCACTGAAGAGGACAATGGTAGGAAGGGGGTTGTAAATCAGCAACTGGTTCTAAGTGAAACTTAGATACTAAGTTTCAGCATGACTGGATAATTTTTAGCTCTCTATATATATCTTTTGAGTGGGAAGCTAGAATATAGAAACTGAACACTGTTTTAATTTTTAAACTGTTTAAACCAGCTACATTAGCAGAAACTAAGTTGGAAGCAAATCCAAGGTGATTTTTTGTTGGTTTGGTTTGGTTGGATTTTCTTTTGAAGTATCACTGTTTGGGGACTTTCCTTTTGGTACTGTCCAAAATTTTTTTATTGTGATGTATTTGTTGATGGCTGATCTCTGGCAGATACCAGAGATGCTACTTTGGCTCATCCTTGCATTCTTGGATTAGAGCACTGAGACTTCTATATTCTGTCTTGTTAAATTTATGCTTATTATTTGGGTGGCTGTATGAATGGTGCTATTGCTCATCCGCATTGAAATGCAATTAAAAGCCCTTTCCTAGGGATTAGATTCATCAAGTGATGGGCTGCCCTTTCCCCAGGTTCCAGGAATCTCCAAGATCAGAGAGAATGTACTGTGAAACAATTCTTCTGCAGCATTTTTGCATTTAGAACATGGGAAATGAGTGTCTGTGTTAAAATTTCAGTGAGGAATCACATACTGTCTAAAAGTACTCATAAGATCCTTACATTACCTACATCTGTGCACTGGGTTACATCTGAACCAACTTACCCTGTCTCCTGGATAAAAGTGTTTTCAATCTTTGTCTCTGAATTTTAAATTTAGTTTAGATTAAAAAGAAGGAGTAGAAGATCATAAATAGGAAAAGTCTGATGACTTGTGCTTTTCTTTTCCTAATAAAATGTCATTAAAGGAATATTATGCTACAGAGAAGAGTCAAAGTAAGACAGCAAGAAATGTAAAATAATCTACTAATATTGTGAGAGGCAATTGGATGCTCTTTAACTGGGCAGTAAAGGAACTATTTTAAGTGTTTCCTTTTACTTCAAACAGGTGGCTCAAGGATACTATTTGGAGTTCATTTACAGTCAACAGATTCATGGCTAATAACTTAGAAGTACTTCCTGAAAGTGTTATAGCCAAAATGTGATAAGCCTGAATTAAGCAGTTTTCTTTTTAAGGAACAAAAAGTACCTACATTTAACCAAAAATGTATTTTCAAGGTCTCAACTGAAATTCACATGAGGAGTTCTAGCCCTGAGTGGGTTTATTTGCCATATTTATTACAATCAGCGTGCATTAGAAAAAAGTTAAAGTTTTGTGACAATGATGTCAGTACTTAGGATAGGAGGTGTAATGCCTTTGTCTTCAATGTGTCTCTTTCTTAACCTGATTTTTCTTTTTTTAATTGCCATCATCCTTCTATGCTCAATCTCACCTGTGCTTTACACGAAAATGTAAAACACTTTGCAAATAAGCTGATTTAACTCTCATAATCATTTTACTAAGTAAACATATGCCCTTCTTCTACAGGAAATAGAGATGCAGAGAAATGGTACTATCTTGAGCAAGCTGTTTACAGCTTGAGATATTGCTGGGATAGAACCCATCATAAAATCTTGGCTGCACTGGAGTCAGCAGACTAACTCCTGTTGAGTCCAGCAGAATCAACCCCAGTGTTCCAATTCACAGCCCTGTCCTATTTAGGAATAAACTGGAATAAGCATTGCATTTAGGAATAAAAAGAGCATTTAGCCTACGTCTTTTCATGTGTTTTGTTCTCATCTTGCAGAACTGGAGAATAGGAGCTTGTTTGCACTCAAAATCTCCTTCTGCTCAGAGCTGTAGTTTCTGCAGTGAAAAGACGCTCCTGTGTGCTATGGGTCTAACCAATGCATCAGCTTTAGCATTCATGTGTCGCTGTAGCTGAAAAAGAAGGGATGTAAGGGAGAAATCGTTCTCTGATCAATCTTTAGGAATACTTTGCAAAACTGACAAGGGGAGTTCTGAAAATTGTTACAAGGTTTGAAGGTTTACGCATGTTCTTATGCAGGGAAGTGGGATCATTTTGGGGTTTTTTCCTTCCATGAAAAGCCATCACCAGGAATAGTTGGCAATATCCTGCAGTTAGGGAAAAAAATTCTCACAGGAATTAAGATAAATATTTTATCCTTAAAATATGTATTTTTAAACTAATATTTCATTCTAAAACAGTGTATTTTTTTCTTCTTCTTTTTCTTAAAGCCTCTGCCTCCTTGTCACGAGTCTAAGGAATCTATGCAGGTGTATAAACAGCACTGCAAAATAGCAGAAGAGTACCATGAAGTCAAGAAAGAAATTGCTCTGCTGGAAGAAAGAAAGTGAGTAAATTTCCCAAAGGATTTACTGTTGTATAATCTCTTTGATCTCTTTGTAAAATCCTGTTTTAAACACGAGGTTTTCACATAATATTTTCTGACCTTAAACTCATATACATATATACTCACATATGTATATACTTATATACACACACACCTTTTAATTGCAGCCTTCCAGTACCTGAAGGGAGCTTATAAGAAAGATGGAGATAGACTATTTACAAGAGATAAGAAAAGGGAGAATGGCTTTAAACTGACAGAAGTCAAGGTTCGGGTATTAGGAGCATGGGATATTAGGAAAAAATTCTTCCCTGTGAGGGTGATGAGACACTGCCACAGGTTGCCCCATCCCTGGAAGTGTTCAAGATCAGGTTGGATGGGGCTCTGAACAAGCTGGTTTAGTAGAAGGTGTCCCTGCCTGTGGCAAGGGGGTTGTAACTGGATGATCTTTGGGGTCCCTTCCAACTCAAACCATTCTATCATTCTTTTGACTCTATGATTCTGTTCCATACCTCTGCCTGACAGTCACAGTACAAGTAGGCCATTGCTCCATAGGATCAACTGGACCCACTAAGAGCTGTCATAGTTCTGGACCCTAACCTATGTGTACATCCCTTAAAACCTTCACTGACAGATTCCAGGTCACGTAACAGTCCAGTTCAACTGGTGCAAGTCTCCTTTTTAATGTTAGGGAATTTTTTTTTAATTTAACATTATACATTTTAATGACGAATGTAACAGATCTTCAGTTAGGCTTGGAGTGCTTGACACTATTGGTAAACGTGTTTCTGTGAGCTGCACTGTTTCTGTATACATTGGCTCAATGCACATTGGCATTTCAGGTGTTTGTATGCAAAGTGCATAAGCTGGAGACATTTTTTCTTGTCTGTGGCCTGTACTCACAGCCCTGTCATCTTTTGCATGACTATTAAATGGCAAAGTGCGCTCTGTGCGTCTCAGTCCCTTTCCACAAGAAACCTGAAAAAGAAATTCAGAGAGACGAAAGAGGGTGAGTAGTGAAATCCCTACCCAGCTGACCTTGAAGTTCAGCCAAGTTTGCATCCGTGGGAATCTTAGAATCAAGCTGATGGGAGGGAAACTGTTGAAATCCTGTATTCTTACAAGATAGCCAAAGAACTCCATGAATCCAAACTATTCAGGGTAAGAAAATGAGATGTCTTTATCAGGGTTGATGGCTACAGACACAATATAGTTACATTTGGCTTAATGTGTCAGAGCTACTTGAGGTTTCCCACTACAAATCCCCTTCCACTGTAGGATCTGTGTGGCACTCAGATTCTGACAAACTGACACAAAAGTTAAAAGAGAAGAAAAAATAGCCAGAAGAGATTAACACTACACTGTCCCTCCATGGAAAAATGCATGAAAATGCAGTGTTTGCATTTGATTCATCATTCATTGAACATGACCCATCAAATGTAATTGGTGTGTTTGGAAAGATGAGGAAAAGATAATTAATTCAAATAATTTTGTCATGATTTGTCAAATTTGGTTTTCTAATATAAGCTGCTTACATATGTATTTAGTAATCAAGTGAATTCAGTGGAAATCCATGTGTCTTTTTCTATTCTGAAAATCCAAATAGAATATAAAATATGAAATGGTCATTTAAGTACTTGACTTTAGATGTATAAACCCAAAAGGTAACCTTAGAGCATTTGGATCATTTGGATTTTAGAGTCTACTGATATAAATCCATTATTATTACTGACACATCCCCGAATCAGTTATGCCTATTTATGAAGTATGCTTGGAGCCTCTAAAAACTAGACATTTATATTATTATTATTATAACAACCATAGACATTTATATTATTATTTTTGCACTTTCTTAAGTGAAAAAAAAATCCTGTTTGAATGCAACCTTTTAATCTATGGAGACTGGGGTACTAGCTGAATTAGAAATACTTTGCTTCCTGAGAAGGGCAGGTACATGCACAAAATTGTTTACCAGAGCTCACAACTATCCTAATCAACTTCTGAGCCTAGATGTCAGCCTCTCTGCAGTGGTTACCCTGGATGAATTAATGGGCTTCAGGCTGGCATTTTGTTTCATTTCACCAGTGGATGTCAACAGCAGAACAATGTCAGGATGTTTCCACCACTGCTACCTTTGCTGAACCTGTTCTGTGGATTCCATGCCCCAGTAAACATATGCTGAGTGGTTGAATAAGGCAACAAATGGAATTATATCACTGTGATTCTTATGTGCCTTCCAATTACAGATTTGTGGACTTGTGTTCACATGCTGTATAGCTGTGAAATGCCTAAACATCACAAATGTCAGGGCAGCACCTTTCACCACTGCCCATGTTAAGAAGTGGTCCTAGAGCACTGGGATCAAAGATGTTTAATTTCCTACGGGTTGGTGCACTGGTTACTTGATTTTGAGGTTTAACAAGATGCAAGTGCCAACTGAAGATTTTTTTTTCTCCAAATGTGAAGTGTTTATAGCTTCTCCCTTCAGGTAGATTCTCCATTTTGTAGTATTTTGGAGCAGGTCTCATGAGACTGCCTTTCCCCATTGAGGTAACAATCCTTTCTGTAGCAGTCTGTTTTTATTAAACCTTCCAGGAACTAACTGGGACCTCTTAACTGCATGAAGCTTGGTTAAAACTGGAAGGGGGATTAGAAAGTTATTAGGAAACATATACTTTTACACACACGTAAGGTTACAAACCTGAGCACACTTATAATTGCAGCATTTCAGTACCTGAAGGGAGCCTACAAGAAAGATGGAGAGAGACTATTTAAAAGGATATGTAGAGATAGGACAAGGGAGAATGGCTTTAAACTGACAGAGGATAGGTTTAGATTAGATAGTAGGAAGAAATTCTTCCCTCGTGAGGGTGTTGAGGCACTGGCACAAATTGCCCAGAGAAGCTCTGGTTGCCCCGCCACTGGAAGAGCTGAGTATTCCATTCTTAGAATGGATGCTTTGACTTTTCTAAAAAGTCTGATGAGATGGACAAGCTTGGAGCCTCAAAAGCAGTTCTAATCAATTCAATCAAATCCAACTCAAACTGAAAAGATGGCATTTGCAGCTTTTTTGAAATTTGCCCCTGTTGTGGGTGTCTTTATCTTCTTCTACATTTGAATTTGAATGTATGGAAATAAAGATCCACAGGTGCCTAATGCACCTGTTATCTATTGTCTATTTCTCTTAAATACTATTTTGATAAAATGATTGAGTTTCATCCCTTTTAATGGGAACAAACAACTTTATAGTGTTGTTCACTGTACATTTTTGCCAAATGCAACCACAAGTTCTGTTGGATGACACCCCTGCCAGTGCTCCCAACTTCCCTCCACAGATAACTCACCTGTGTCATTACAATGGCAAATCCCACCTGGCAGTGTCTGCATCTGTGGTGCCTACTGACAGAACACTGTGCACACAGAATACTGAAGGCTATGACTGACAGGAAGAAAAAAAAAACAGGATTGAGCAAATATTTTCTGTTTGTTGGCTAGGAGGAAGAAATAATGTTAAGCTAACCTGGCATAAATATCCATAGTAGTATTAGAGCTTTTTAGTAAAAAGAAATGTAATTAAGTTAATTCTACTTTAAACAATTTTTGTTCCAACCTCCAAACTTCAGTGTCACCTTTATACATGGAATAATACATGCAGGTATATTTCTAAAGGAGGTATCTTTAAGAAAAGAAAATTGAAAAACATTGTTTTAAAAGAGTCAAAACCATTTAATCTTTTACAACTTTTCAAAGGCTTAGCTTGACTTTTCTCTCACTTGTGAGCATCAGGTATGGCCAAAGTATAAAAAGTCATTGATGTGAGGAGGGTTGCTTTTCATCAAGGCAAGAATAGAATTCATTTACCCTTTCTCTTGTATGCAATGTAGATACTGAAAGAATATACTAGGCTGGGAGTGGGAGAGAAGATGACAACTATTTCACAGGAAGAGGGGAAATGTGAAAGAGAAAGAGAGGCTGCAGTTTCAAAAAAGGGAAAATAAAAGGAAAAAAGCAAATGAAGGGTAAAAGAAGTTACTCAAGAAGAAGACCAAAAAAGGAAGGAAGAAATTGAAAGAATTTAGAAGAAGACTGAGTAGATTTTTTTTTGCTAATATAATCATAGCTTTGTTTGCTCTCTTCACTCAAACTCTTCCCATTTATGCCAGCAATATGTAGTACAAGGGAAAAAATCACTGTGGAATGGGAGACATGATTGAAAATAAAGAAAAGGGTGTGGAAGCGAGAGCACACCACATTTAGGGCACAGAATGTAATTTAATTTATGTTCCAGAAACACACATGTATTTCCATAACAGATGTTTTGGGGTATCTAAGTTTGGGTGAAAGGGGTGGGATGGTTGGTTATTTTGAGCACTTGTTATATTGCTATTACTAGATAATGACCCTGGATTATGTAGTTAAATATTAGAGTTGCCATGGTTGCTAGCTGTATCTTATATTCTTAGCACTGGCTGGTTATCGCTTTTTCCTCCCCCAGACAATTCTAATATAACTCTTCAGAAAATATCATTTGATCACCACCTGGTTTAGGTTCACTCCTTCTCTTTGCCATGGATATGATTTCTTTTCTTCTTTTGCACATGTCACAGTAGACATAGAATCATAGAATCATTAAGGTTGGAAAAGACCTTTAGTATCATCAAGTCCAACCATCAATCCAGCACCACCACCATGTTCACCATAAAACTATGTCCTCAAGTGCCACATCTACATGTTTTTTTAACACCTCCAGGGATGGTAACTCCAGCACTTCCCTGAACAGCCCATTCCTGTGCTTGACAACCCTTTCCAGAAAAAGTTTTTCCTAAAATCTAATCTTAACTTCCCCTGGCACAATTTGAGGCCATTTCCTCTCATCCTTGTTACCTGGCAAAAGAGTCTGAACTCCCCCTGGCTACAATCTCATTTCAGGTAGTTGTAGAAAGCATGAAGATCTCCCCTGAGCCTCCTTTTCTTCAGGTTAAACACCCCCAGCTCCTTCAGCTGCTCCAGTTACAAGACTTGTGCTCCAGACCCTTCCCCAGCTCCATTGCCCTTCTCCGGACACCTCCAGCACTACAATGTCATTCTTGCAGTGAGTGGCCCAGAACTGAATGAATGCAGGATTCGAGGGTTGGCCTCACCAGTGCCAGGTACAGGGGGACAGTCACTGCCCTGGTCCTGCTGGCCACACCATTGCTGATACAGGCCAGGATGCCATTGTCCTTCTTGGCAAATGACATGCAGTGGAGATGTCTGCTTAATTTTGTGGAAGCCTTCCATATGCTTTAGCATGCTCTCATGACCATAAGACTGTTTTAAGGTTTCCAGCCGAGATGGTTTCTCTAGGTACACTATTTCCAGACTGTCTTTGCAACATTGCTAAGACAAGTAGTCTTCAAACTTCCAGGTACTGCAGCAAAAGATTAGCATAAACCTTAAAGACAACCTTTTAGCTCAATAATTTTCCCATTCTAGACCTGATTTTTCATCATCATGTGTATGCAAAATATATGTTACTTGCCAAATAGTGGAAATTAAATTACAGCTTTTCTAAAACCAAGAGAGACTTCCAGGTCTTGTGGAAGGTGTCCCTGCCCATGGCAGGGGTGTTGGAACTAGATGATCTCTAAGGTCCCTTCCAAACCAAACCGTTCTCTGATTCTATGACCTTTTATGTGTTGGCATCTGGATATATTTTCATTTACATTAAAACAGGCTGTCTCGTTGTTTTAAAAATCAATTAGTAGGCTTTAAACACACAAGGACAGTCTTCTCAGACAGCGATTACCTTACAGGGTCTCATGATTCCTCCTAATGTGAAAGCCATGTCAAATGTGAGAAATGAAGACGATCTTATGGCCACCAGAACACAGACACATGTTAGCTGAGAAGAAATGTGTGGTGCCGCAGATGCATGATCCTGAACACATTGTTCACAGCTGGGGAAAGACAAATCTGACTCTTTGTACTCTGGAAGCTGTTTTCCTTGTGTCCAGTCCATCTTTAAATATACTCATCTTTAGACAGATTTATCTGCTTATTCTGTCACTTTTCTTGGTATTTATTCATTGTGAATATTAGTGTTAAGGAGCTCTGTTGTCTGCATGGTCAGTCATTAAGGCCAAGAGAAATAATTTCCCTAAGACCATGCTGGGTTTTTTTCTTGCTCTGGCAGGCTCCCTTCCCTCACATATCCCTCCCCAAAAAAGAACATTTAGAGTGTACATTACAGATTGTCTCAAAGCTTTGAGTACCTCAGCACTAGTTTAGAAAATACCTTATCGATGCTGTTAATATTTAAACTTGGGATAGCCATTAACAGAAAACACAGATTACACAGTGCTAGACCTATTTATTAAGCATCCATAAGAAAGGCTACATGGTGCAAGAGCTTAGTATGGTGTTCTTTAACCTCTGGAAGCTAAGTTCAAATCCCGGATTAGATCAGAAGAAAATGTTACTGTCTTCATCCTTTTGTGAGCTTCGTAAGCTGCACCATTCATAACATTTATCAATTCCCCGGTACTCTAATTTTAGTTCTGTGCAGGCTGACAGTATTTGCCTGAAACATCACTCTACCCTGTAAACAGGTGTTGATCCTGATGGGAAGGGAATAAGTAGGTTCTGCTGTCACACAGAAGTGGGCAATTTTACCACAGAATCACAGAACAGGCTGAGTTGGAAGGGACCCATGAGGATCATTGAGTCCAACTCCTGGCCCTGCACAGGACCATCCCCAAGAGTCACACCATGTGCCTGAGAGTATCGTCCAAGCGTTTCTTGAACTCTGTCAGGCTTGGTGCTGTGACCGCTTTCCTGGGGAGCCTCTTCCAGCACTCAACCACCCTCTGGGTGAAGAACCTTTTTCTAATATCCAGCCTTTAGCATCTGTCAGACTTCCAGCACAATCTCATGGGTAGTCAACCAATAACACATATGTACAGCCGTACACACAGGGAGCCACACAAGTAGCTACTTTGCAATTTATTGGAAATTAGTTATTTGGACAGCTGTTTGCCTCCAACGTACTGGGAGGCAACTGGAGACACTGTCCTAAACAGAAAATACAGGAAAGACGGTTGAATTGCCCTTTTCTGCCCACATAGTACTACTGGATCACAGAATCAGTGCAAGGAAACTGCTTTCTATGAGGGAGGTCCTAGAGCATGGACTACAGCAATGAGTATATTTTTATTTTAGCACATTTATAATTTGTTTAATAGCAAAGGTAAATCCCACAGGGGAAAAAGTTATCTGTGTTGCTTGAATATTACTGAAAAGCAGCATGAATGCCATGCCTGCACAAAGTCTCATCTTATCAAATCAGGACTGACATTCATTAACAGGGTTGTCCGAGTTCACACATTGTCTGTCTGTGCCACTCCTGGCTCCAGTTCAAATAGAGTAGTTAGTACCATTCTTTTTCAAGTACTAAAAGTCCCCGCAGAAAAGATTTGTCTGCTTTGAAGATGCTGATTACTTATTAGTGTGTTCACTGAATCTCCTTTTAAGAAGCTCATAAGTGTATGAAAAGTAAGGAAGAATGATTCTGAATTAATTTCTTTGGACACTTCTGTTTTAACAGTCTGTAATCTGAAAGAGCTTAATTTAATCCTTCAGTCTAGCACTGCACCAGAGAATAATTGCAAGGAAATATTGCTGACACTCTCTCTTGGTCTCCAGAAATAAAAGTCTTCCAGAGGAGGCCCTTGAGAGGCTCCAGTGATTAAAGACTTGTAAAACCTCATTGTCCCTAAATGCATTTTTCACTCTCTAAAATACTCCCCCATGGTCTCTGTCCCATTAATAGGAGCTGTCTAGCAAAATCATCTTGGCCCCTTTGAAAATTGGTTGATCTATCATGGCCCAACCAAAGAGAAATAAACCTGTTAATGGCTTGCGGCTTCTAAAAATTTTATGACTATTTTGTGACAAATATAAACAGAATTTTGCTGAGCTAAAATAGGCTCTTGATGTTTTCCCTCAAAGGCTTGATTGAACACACCTTTCACCGGGTGAAAGGAAAGAGAAAGAGGCTTTGCTGCAGCATAGCTGCTCTTCATTACCTCAGCAGTATAAAACAAAGCCAACATATTTAGCTGTAGAAGGATGCCCATATACTGCCTCTTTAGGATGATTTAAAATTTCTGTAACGGCTGCTAACTCTTTTTTTTTCAATGGGAAGCACAATTGAGAGAAATGGCTGTGTCAAGAATCTCTTCTAACTTGAGCTTAAGTAACTGTGACTGTAAACCATGGGCAAACCCTGCTGTCACTGAAAGCTGCAGTAAAGACAGAGGAAGGTCAAACTGATCCTAAAAGAAGCCCAGACAGAAGTGTTTTTCAAAACCCAGGTGCTTACACTTTTGCTGCTGTAAGTGGTAGCTTTGCAGCTTCAAGCAGCGTAAATGATCAGCAAATACAGAAATGTTATCTTTTCATGAATACTCTGACCTGTGGGAATAAAATTCCGGATCTGTAGGAATTTCCTGTCTGAAAGTACAGGTCTACCCTGACAAGAAGGCTCCTTTAAGGACCGCAGCAAAAGCTATCCACTTTGAAGGTACTAATATCTTCCCACTGGTGATCTACAAGCATTGTTTTGATATGACTGAGAAATAAAGTCACAGGGCCATGAACCGTTAAAGATTAACTAATCTCTGAGATAGAATGATCAAAAGAACTAAGAACCCTTTAGAAGAGACTTCCTGTAGCAGGGGTGACTTTTTGACTTAAAGGGAAAAAACCCCAGAGGCCAGGCTAGCCTGCTGGATGACTTAAGTGGAGAACAATTAGTAATTCACCAACTCTGTGAGTTACTCATGCCTTCAGTGTGTTTTAAGACCTCTTTTATCTTAACTTGTGCTGAGGTAATTTCAATTGATACTATACAGGAGACTCCAGCTCCTGGGCAGCTCTGGGAATACAGGGCACTGTGTTACTCCATCCAGAAGAAGCCACAGCTCTTAAGAGGACCAGGAGGCATCAGGTTTGCAGGTCTATCACTCTGCCTCAGTAGTAGGGCTAAGGTCGGAGCCTAAACATATTATAGAAGTAATATATGTCGTTCAGATTCATGTGCCTAGTATGTACTAGAATCATCTGTAGCAGAGAAAGGAAACCACGTGCACTTCACCGAATTTACTAATAAATCTAACTAACTGAACAAAAAACTTTGCTCTCTTTCAATTATATTTGATATTGAGAGAAAAATAAATTGTTATTCTTCTGGTAAAGTATTAGCAAGCAATCTCCAGGAACTTGATTCACCACCATGAACTACATGTTCAACATTTACTGAAGTTAGAGATCATACAATTATACAGTTATAGGATGGTTTGGATTGCAATGGACCTTAAAGATCATCTAGTTCCAAACCACTGCCATGGGCAGGGACACTTTCCACTAGACTAGGTTGCTTCAAGCCCCACCCAACCTGGCCTTGGACACTTCCAGGGATGTCACAGCCACAGATTTCTCTGGGCAACCTGTGCAGTGCCTCACCATCCTCACATGGAAGAATTTCTTCCCAATATCCAATCTAACCCTGCTCTCTTTCAGTTTAAAGCCATTCTCTTATCCTGTCACCCTTGTGAAGAGTCCCTCTCCAGCTCTTTTGGAGCGCCTCTTGGTGCTGGCGGGGCCTCTAAGATCTCCCTGAAACCTTTTATTCTCCAGGCTGAATAGCCCTAAATACAAATATTTGAAACCAGCATTTTGCAGATTTGGTCACTGAACAGCAAACCTATCAGCGACTTTGGAAGCTTCATCTTTTAATGGAAAAAAGAGGACTCTAACAAATTAATTTTCTAGGCCCTTGTTTCACACGAGCTGAGGTTATATCATGTTAGCAACCTACAGTCCAGCTTTGACCTAACACAAATTTTGATGATAAATTTTTGCATACTGCCATTTTTAATATTTGGGGTTTTTTTCATAATCATTAGAAAGGAGCTGATTGCCAGGCTGGAACAAGTGGAAAAAGAAAGCATGGATGCTGCTCAGCTGGCTAAGGAATATGCAGAACTGACAGAGGAGAACCGAACACTGAAGCTGGCCCAGACGCAGTGCGTGGAGCAACTGGAAAAGCTCAGAATACAGTATCAAAAAAGACAGGGTTCCTCATAACTCCCAACTAGCTTGTGTGAGGCAGTTCATAAATGACTGGTCCTGTGCTGGAAAGAGATTTTAAAATAAGGATCTGTTTAATATGTTATAATACTTTACTACAGATACGGAGTATGTAGAAGTCTATATTTGATTTAATGCTTGCCAGCCAGTAACTTAATATAATGGATATTTTATCCATTATATAATGGATATTTTATTTCAAGTAACATAATTGAAGTTAATCTGTCCCCATTATATGTTCTAGTAGATCAGGTTTCTTTTCTAAACATATTTCTTCCAATTTAAGAAGATATGGACACACTAGAAAATGGTATAAATAGTTCCTGTGTTGGAAATTTGGATCATACTAAGGCATACAGCAGGGGCAATGTTAGTATATGGAATACATGTATGTTAAATTTAGTTTGGTGAAGATTTTTTTTGAATTATTTTCCTCATGCCTGAAGTGTTTGGAAGTTATCTTAAAACAGATCTCCTCATTGGTAAAAACTGTACTTCATTATCCCATGTCAACTTCACATTGTTATATAAAATCTGAGAAATTGCACATTAAAAATTGAAGTAATATAATTTTTTTTCAAATGAGTGCACTGACAGTAATAATTAGCAAGTTATGAAAATAAAAGGAAACAGTTGAGATCAAAATTTCCTTCCTCAAGTGTAAAGATTTGAGAGTCTTTTGGCTCTTGTACTTTTTGGCATGCAAGAAATGAAAAATTAATGTAAGAATCATAGTTTCATCATAGTTTCAACTGAGAATATGTCAGTAAAAGTGCTGTGAGGATATTTTGTTCCTATTTTCTGGTCTGTTTTGAAACATAAGTGGCTCTAAGTGGGGACAGGATGTACAAATAACCGAGAATATACAAATAATGGGGATATACAAATAACCAGGAAGTAAAATGTCAGTTTTACTTGCTCTTTTTATCCCTGTGTTTTCCTAGTTCAACTGGAAATTCTTTGTTATACTTCTATTTCTATTCATTATTCGTTTTTTCATTAAAAGTGGATATAGAAAAGTTCTCAATATTCTCAATCGTTGTATACATCAGAACTTTAGGTTTGTTTATTATTCTTAGTCTATCATAAAAATGGTATTTTATGTTAATCAAAACAATTCCTGACAACAAAGAGGACAAAAAAAGTACACAAGTTTCCCTTTATTTTCCGTGCTCACTGCCTGCACAGTTCCTGCAGCACATGTGTGAGAACAGGCTCTGCATTGCTCCAAGCACCTGGGACTGCTATAGGAGAACATGAAGAGTTTACAGGAGAGGACAACCTTGTTTCCATTTCTCCTCCTGAGCCATCAGGGCAGTGCCAGCATCCATGCCCAACATTGCTTGCTGCTGTACCCTGGCCAGAGCGGAGACACGATGGGAAATCACTCCTGAGGCACGCGCTTCTTGCTGGGATGCTCCACAGGCAGTGCAGCACTGTGTTTATTCCTCTTTTCTTGTTATCTGAGGATCAAATTTTCACTATATCTTGTGAAAGTTGAAGAGGAAAAAAAAAACCATAGTTAATAAAACCCACTTGGAATATCAGGCAGGGAATGATGGAAAAGCCTTATTTGAGTTTTGCACTGATGGGAAATGAAACCTGAACAGACATCAAGGCTTTGCTTTGAGCACAGAACACCGCAGAATCCAAGATGTACTTTTTTTTGTCTGTATTTATGTGTATTAACGAAAGCGTTCTCATTTTCAAATTAATTTGTCATTTTAGTAATTTTTCCATCTAGCTTTGAAAACGTCATCCAGTCTGGTGATTTCAGTGAATTCATTGAAAACTGTAAAAAGTACATAAAATTACTTCATCAACAGACTGGCTTCGGATGCAAATGGATTAGATGGCAGACCTTAAAAATAACTGCATTCACCTTGAAATTTTCTATTTAAGTGCAGCCATTTTGCTTTAGATATCAGAATAATAACAGATCATATGCTGGGATTAAAACCTGAGGGAGAGCCACAGTGAGGTGGAGAAGGAAAGCTGGGCCCCATTTGTGACATATCACACTTTGAGAGCAGCCAAAGAGTATATTTTACCTGTAGGTACTGAACAGTATGGAAGTCTTCAGGAAACGTTTTTATACGTGTACAGGCACCAAATTCGTGATGTGGTCCAGCTACCAGCCTGGATAAATATGAAATTCTTAAACCATCTCAAACCAGTTGAAGTCAGAGATTTGTATTTAATCTTGACTGTGACTATTTGCAATCAGATTTTCCTCCTACTTTTAGTTATGGTGAAAGTAAAAAATAACAGCCTTGTATCAATATATTTGCCTGCCAGCACGGATGCTCAGGTGTCTGAGAACATTGACTTGGAGAAATGGTATCACAATTCAAATGAGTAAAACTGATATAGAAGTACCAAGGAAGAAAAATTAAAGTACTTCATGAAAACTATTTTTAAAAGAAAAAATAGTAAGAGAAATGGGATTCAAAGACAGGACAGTAAGCAAATGGAATTTTCCAAAAATATTCATAGATAAGTCAAATTAAAATGTAGCAAAGTCAACATCATCCAGGTGTTGCAAAGCATAAACATGGCTAGAACAGCCTTCTGAGAGGTAACTGCTGTATCTATCATCCACCTCTTCATTTTCTTATCAAGTTCATAATAATGAGAAACATTTTCACATTCAATAAATCTCCAATTTTGACATGCTGAGTTTTTTCTCTAGATACTCTGGAACTCTGCTGAATAAATAGCTGAAATTAAGCTTTTTAATAAAACGCTCTTCATATTGATCTTGTATTTTCCAAGTAAACTGTATGATTTGTGTGCTGGTGTTTAAGGAGAGACCTTAAATTGGTCTGCAAGTTAGGTCCATTGGAAGTATCACACTGTAAAAACAAGTTTTACACAATTATTTCGAAGATGGTTTTACACTGTATTTCACCCAAGAACTTAGAAGCCTGTTTCAGCTTTTGAGATCAACTGCCAATGAAATGTTCAATTTTATAATTTCTGACTACAGCCTGTGGGAACCGCGATTGTATTCAGCAAAACAAGGGTGCAGTCTGAGGCTCTTACTGTCAATTCACCAGTGGTCAGGAGGCAAGGAAAGGCATGTGAAAGGCTCAGATGGCAAAAGAAGCTGCTAAATGCAAACACCTCCACAGACAAAGTGTATTTGTTGCTATTATCCAGGTTATCCAGGTTAGCAAAAGTAACCATGCCACTGTGATGGCAAATGGGTTTGCTTCAAACCGGTTAAGAAAGAGTGAAGTATATGGGTTTAAAATAAAAACAAGACCTGTGATTTCCATTTCATATCATTACTAATTAAATTCCTTCCATCCTAATGGGTGCTGAAGAAACTCAATTTAAGTCTTCCAGTTAGCAAGGATATGACTCATGCAGTCTTGAAACAACCAGAGGTTAGGGCAATTTGATACTTGAAAAGTCTGGAAGATAAGGACATGCATAAGGTTTGGGTTCAGCGGCTTTTTTTTTTTAATGTTTCACTTTTCAGGATTATATTTGTTCTGGCTGGTTTTGTGAATCTTTCAAAGTGTGTCACTTCCCTCCAGAGGCTTGACTGCCATCTAGGCCTTTGTGAGCATTACACATTGTTAATAGTGGGTGGGTACAAGTAGGCAAGGGTGGGACAGAGAGGTGTTCTCAGCCTTCCTCTGGGCTGGTTGGGGAGCTCTGGCTCTGTCACTTTGCTGTCTCACCTCCATGTATCCATCTCACAGACCACCTCGCAGAAATGAGCTAGTCACAGTCTTAGCTATGGAACCACTTGGTGTTTTTTCCTACATAAGAGTCCTTGCTTTCTAAATGCACAAAGTAGAAGTGTCTAAAGGAACGTGGGGGATTTGTCTGGAGGAGTCTTGCCTCTCTTCTTGTGAGGGGTACAAGATGTGCAGTGTTGGAAGAAGAGGGCTGCAGGGAAAGGAACTTCGGTCCAGGCAGTGATGTAGCAGGAGGAGTGCTGGCCCTGTCCAGCAGGATTGTGAGGAGAGCTGACAAAATCTGGGTGCTGGCATGACTTTTGTCTCCTGTTCACATACTTCCACAGTCATACATGTGCACCCACAGCACTGAGGATCTTCTCCCTCCTCGTGGAGTGTCATGGCATGCATATGCATGGTAATACGATGATGCACGTCCTTGGAAAAACCATGATGAAACTAATGGTCTTCATGACAGGCCTGGAAGGTGTGCAGCAGTGAAGGACTATGACCATTACTGAACAAGTACCAAAAAGCTGGGCCCTGTTGTCCATCCTAATAGACTTCTCTAGGACAGGACCAGACACTGTGACTGCATGACTGCACCACAATGCACATTAAGGAGAGAGGGAAGGTAGCAAACAAAGTTGGAGGGGCAGTCTCAACCTTACCATTTCCTTCACTGAGTGTCTTGGTTTTGCAATGTTAAACTGGGAGTTATCAAGATGGTCCTTCAGGTGTGCACCAAAACTGCATGGCTGATGCTTTAAATTCAAAGTAGATTGTAAGAATGAAAAAAATCTACCTTGCCTTGGACAGTGCCAGTCACCTCTAGGTTCTAGTGCTCCTTACAGGGAATGTCATGTATTGCTCATATCACATCAATGAAAGATGACAACCAATCACAAATCACTGTTACACTTGACCCAGGCTTCCTAAATGGCACAGTTCAGTGGCTTACACTGTAGAAAGCACAAGATTTGGCATATGAGTCATTCTGCTTTCCTACATATCAATCATCAGTTCCCCCTTCTAAACCTCAGTTCCTTCAATCCTCCCTGACCACAGCCCATGCATCTGTACTCCCCACTGAGTAAGCAGCATCAGCCTAGAACTCAGATCCAGTTGACTGGTGATCTCATGGTCTGATGATCTCCATGGGCTTCAGATGGTTTCCAAATGTTACAGTCATATGATGTTTTGCAATTGGGTGCTGGTTTGTGGCAGCAAAGTATTCCACCAGGCTGCAGGTGCCAGTTGTGAGAGATGCTTGGTTTCTTTGAACTGGTTAGAAAATATGAGAGCAGGTGGTCTGTGAATTTAGTTATTTGTCTGAATCTTATACTAAATTTTAATACAGAAATTAGGGAAATGAAATGAGGATGTGTGTGCTGATGTAACAAATGTGCAGTCAGATGCCAAACTCTGCTCTGGGTGCTCAGAATGAGTAAACTGATGAGAACTGTAAGTGATGGAAAGGAAGTAGGTACAGCTAGGAAGAGGAACTGGTGAGTGAGCTGTTGCTTTATCTGCCTGCTTTCTTGCTGTTTATGGCTTGCACCAGTGGGATGTATAGGCTGTTGTCCTTAGCTCAACATTAAGAAGCTTTTGTTTAGGTATACATGAATATTTACTTCATTAAGGTTATGTTTTTGTTGACTCTGTCTAGTATCAACAGAGCTATGATGTGACACAGACACTCACAGTGTTGCAGATGGTTCTTCTACAGAAAGAGGAATAACCAGTATCAGGATATGAGTGTACTCTGCTAATCATAGAATCATAGAATATTTGAATTTGGGAGGGTCCCATATGGACCATTGAGCCCAATTCTGTGCCAACTGTTGTATTTACATTAAAGACAAATAAAGCCTTGATAAATAGCCTATGTAGAGTTAAAACTACCCTGAAGCCAGAGCACTTCAGTACTGAAATAACTGCGTCCCCACTAATGGTCTTTTGCTGCTTGCGTCGCACAAGTGGAGTTTAGAATTTTATTAACCAGATCCCCAGTTTCCCACATGAAGGGATAATGATGTGATGTTATGTGATCAAAAAACTTTCACCTCTATCTTGTGACTGTCTTACAAGTGTATGACACATCTCAGTGCACAGCCCAGATTGCCTCGTGGCCACAGACCTTCCCCACAGCCATTTCATCACAGTGCTCTCCCCAGAGAGCAGTCAGAAGTAAGTTCATCATTTAATGACATTACCTGCTAAGAACCTTGACTGTCTTGTGGTCAGACTGTTTTGTGTTCATGTTCTGCAAATATGTCAATATATATGTTTACTGATTAGATGTCAGTACAAA